GGTAGTATCATGGACGCTACTCTCTCTATTCTGCCGACCTAGACGCGGATATAACTGAGGGCGCGGGTGGTGAGGGTAGTGTTGCGGACGCCGCCGTCTCTATTCTGCCGCCCTAGACGGCCAACTATATCACCTCTATGGACGCGCTGGCCCTGAGTGGTTCCCAACCTTTTTTTTGCCTGAGACCCCTTTATCCCTGGAAAATATTGTGAGCCCCCTCCACATTTAATGATATAATCGCTCATATACTTTTGCTGTAATGATGACTAAAAATGTTGTTTTCAAATAAACAGAATGTTTAGTACTATATCTAGATGTTTACGCACAAATAATAGCCTGATGTGAAATATAAAAACATCAGTAGGCCATTTGTAACTAAAAAACGTAAACTGTTGGCCTTTAAATTGTCCCTTTTTGACATTCAACAACAAAAATATCAGTATTTACACTGGTGTATAATGGAAAGAAATGGAAAGGGTATTACAATTTACCACTTGCATGTTATTCGTTATGCTCTATCAATTAGTGTGAGGATTACGGCGAAGCCAATCAGGGAGACTGTCTTTATTGTGGAGAACAGATTATAAAATTGTCCATTTTTGGTGTGTGTGATCGATCAATTCTTGTCACGTGACTCGCGGTGAGCTCATTGCCGCGCACCTCCATTGGAAACAGCAAACTTGTGCAAACTCTAGAAATACGCGATAAGCGAACGGCCCCAATTGTGATCTCCATCAGTTGATCTTCTTGCAGAGCCATGCTGGATTCACCTGATTTGTTGACAAATGGGTTGGGAATCCATTCCTTGGCAGTTCGCGGGCCATTTACTGGGTTTTTTCCCCTTAGCAAAGACACTTTCCAAAGACGTCGGTTTCTTCTATTTATGCTATAATTTTTGGATTAATATGCTATATTAGAATGATTAAAGTAACGCTCTTTCTCCTGTTCTCTGATGGATGACTACAAACTCAGCGCAAAAACTGCCTCATGATCACGTCTGCAGCTAGTACATGCAAGTCTGTTCATTCACAAACTATGTGTGGAGTTAAAGTCTCTGTGAATATTTCTTTGAAATGTTAAATATATGCTCGCAGTTGTCCAAATTGATGTGCTGTGAGTGTTTTATAAGGGAATAGTTATTAGAAATCAGACTGTTATATCTTCCAAGCATAAGGGCTTATAATGTGGTTCTGTCACCATCTTCTGGATAGAAAGCGTCAACCGTCGCCGACTCTCTCAGAAATTGTAAATATTTTAAAATAGGCACTGTAATTATAAATAAACTGCATAGTTGCAATCTAAACAGCTACATTCTCAACTAAAAAAAGCCTCAAAGGTACCTTTTGTCGTCTAACAGCAGTAATAATTGTGAAACTGTAGCGTCTTTCTGTTGCTGGCTGTATGTGGGCGGAGTAATACACAGAGGTGAAGGGTGAAGAGGCCTTTGTGTGATGTTACTGGCGAAATATCGCACGGCTATCATCCAATCAGATTCAAGAACCAGACAGAAATGTTGTATAAATATATATATTTGTTAATAAATAAAGGTTTAAATTAGCATTTCATACTAACATTTGAGAAAATGTCAGACTGGTGGACCTTCAAAAATGGATCAGAGAAAGAAGTGGGCCCCGAAGTGAAAAAGGTTGAGAACCCCTGGTTTATTACACTGCTTTTTAGGGAGGGGTATCGTTAAGGTTTTACCGGTATTACTACTTTAATCTATACCACTTATTGGTTCGGTACTCAAACGGTTCTCTAATCTGTACTTTTTTGTAGTGTTTTTTAAATGAATGACTCAGTTTTTAACCATTCGTCTGGAGAAAAATCAACACATTTGCCTTTTCTACCTTTCTTGGCCTCCTAGGGCCCTATCATACACCAGGCGCAATGTGGCGCAAGGCGCGACGCAATAGTCTTTTGCTAGTTTAAGCTTGGCGCAAGAGTGGTTTTGAGGCGCTGTTTAAATAGCAAATGCATTAGCGCTCATTTGTGCGCACATAGGCGTTCTGGTCTAAAAAGGAAGGCGTTCTGAGGCGGACCGCTGGCGCGTTGCTATTTTGAGAAACTATAATAGATTTTTCATTAGACCAAAACAAACCCGGTCTAAACTCCAGCGCAGAGTTGCGCCTCGCTTACACACTGCTTAATACACACAAGAGAGCAATAGGCAAATATCTTTACATATGAAAAAATGAAAATATTAAGGATATATATAGGATATAATAAGAATAGATATAGAATATAAATATAAAGGATTAAAATATTACAAAACATATTATTTTCTAGCCTACATAAATATGAAAAACCACTGCTTTTATGTCTTCTTCATCTCGGGAGGCTTTTTCAGTTCATTCATAACAATTTACTTTTGTATAATGTTATTAATATTAGCAGTATTATTTATTATATCCATATTTATATTTGTTTTATTAAAAACAGCACAGCATGTGTTTTAGGATATAACTCAGGTTTTTGAGCACACTTTGTTATTATTGTTCATTTATTCGTTTGCTGGAAATTAGAACTGAATTTAGAAATAGTTTTGAAACGAATATTTGCGCTTAACAAACGCAATTAATTATTTATAGACTAATTGACGTCTGTGCGTAAAGGTTTCCCTATCCAAGAGCGATCCATTATCTCTCATTTTCACGCAGTAGATGCTCTGTTTAACAGTTTTCTGTTTAACAACTGTTTGCTAGTGAAATGCTCAGTTTTTCCACTAACATTTACTTTACATCATGTAAATAGCAACTGCGCTTATGACGCGACGCAGCTGGCTCTTAAAGGGAATGGGAGATGAGACTCTAATTGGTTTATTCTCAAAACACACCTATAACTCATTAAAAAAATAAACTCAACCCTTTTAGACCATGCGCCACGGCGGCAAGCGGATTTTCCCGTCCTTAAATTAGCAAAAATGCGTTCTGACACGCCCTGAAAGCGTTTGCGCCCTGCGTTTTGGACCGTCAAAATACAGCCCCTACAGTTGAAAAATACCCTATTCGAGTTGCAAAACGCTGTTAAACGATCAGCTGAGGCTAATGTTTATGATTTATCATTAGCACAGGGGATTAAAGGGAATAGTTTTGGAGCCTCTTGCGATGTAAAAATAATCCGTTTTTTATATGATTTTTAATAAGCGTAGTTTATTATTATCATTAATCTATTTGTTAAGTAACGTAAAAGCATTTTTAACGTTTAAGATATATTTAGGCCACAGCAGAAAATGAAATACAATTGTCAATGTAACCGTGTGCTTATTAAACTATTAATTTAGATCATACATCTCAAACTGGAATCCTGGAGGGCCGCAGCTTTTACGAGAAAACTACTTGTTTCAACGAGCATTGTCAGTGTGCACTCAGCTGAAATACATACATACTGACCATTTGGTTCTCTCTGCCATCGTTGCTCCATTAAGCGCAAGCTTACAAGCTGTGTGTGCGAGTCTCGTTTCAGGTGTGTGCTCTTGGCGGTGTGTACTGCCTACGGTGGAACAAGACGAGTGTTTCTCGCAGTGCAGAAGAATATCAGGTCTGGTCAGGTCTTGATGCCCATCTCCGTTTTGTTGCCTTTATCGGAGATTATTTGCCTGTTCACACGTTCTTTTAATTGTCACCCATATCCAATTCATGCGTTTACTCTTGCCATACAATTTCTGACGTCGCGCATGCGTAAATGCGGGTTCTAGCATCTGCACCACACTAGCCACGATGGAAGAAATTGTCTTGCTTTTAGCTCTGCGAAATATGACGTTCTTTAAAAGGATTTTGAGGTGGAGGGAAAGGGCCGTCATCGCAGCTTGCGCCTGTATGGTTTATATATGGTGTTTATATACTCATAGCCCCACAGGGCAAGAAGGCAGGTAAATTTAGCCTCTGTTACATCTGTCGTTTACCGCGTTGGCGTCCCCACACATGCTCTTCCTTCTTCGTCATTAAACCGCAGAGAGTACCACAGTGTCTTAGTTTAACGACGTACGAAACGGAACGCCTCAATAAATCGATCTGCCTGTTTACATGATAGCCGCATTATCACATTTCTGATTTATTTACACACATGAAGGAGGCCAGAAACCGATCTCTGAACATCCGAATGCATCCAAGGTCATAGTACAGATCCAATCCGTGTCACATATGAGCAAAAAATCGGGTCACATTTAACTGGCAGTGTAAACGGTGCCAAATATGACAAATTAGAAAAGGTTGGTCAGTATGCTACTGTACGTAATGTTTATTCGGCAATAATTCTCCAGTACCGATCAGACAATGCCTCTGGCTTTTATAATTTTGCACCTGTGCCAATAAAGTACCGAGTTTTGGTACCCAACCCCACTGCCGTCTGGAGTCCTGGATTCTGATTTTTTCAGCAGTATTGATTTAAAGGGCCATGAAACCGCCTCGTTTCAGCAGTGTGTTTTCACTCCTCTACTTTGGAAAAAGTCAGAAAAGTGGGCGTGTCCAGCTCTGTTTAGGGGGGAGTGTCGGAGGAATTAAAGAGGCTTGGTGTGGGAGTGTCTATTTGGGTGCGCTGAATTTCAGAGTCAAAATACACACGCACAGGGGACAAAGTGACTGTGTTTACATGGACATCTGTAGTCGAATTATTTGCCAAATTATTAAATGGTGGACTTTAACTGCAGTTTGGCTCTTTCATTCAGGGAATTCATTCATGCCCCTCGCAACAAACGAGATATTTGATTTGAGGAACTGCTCTAAGCGTGTATTTTTCATGCAATGTTTGATACCGCACGGCGAATGAGAGAAAAAAAACCTCAGCATTTCCCGGAAACTTAGATGCACTCGGCAGGTAGCGTCAGAAAGCCGCGTGTGTTATTCCGGTCACTAAATGCAGTGAAAATCCTACACGAGATTACAGTTTGGTTGTGGTGCTAACATGTTTACACTCGGTGCAATAGTTTGTTCGATACGAACAAACTGAATAAACAAAGAGCACTGGTCGCTCACTTACCAAACCTGTAGAGACAGGACAATCACCAGCAACTAGAGCCGCGTCTTTATTAAGAGGAGACTACAAGCGAATCCGGATCTCAGTGTTTGCAGATGAGAACAGCTCTCAGGTAAACAATGTTCCTCCTTAGACACGTAAGTTATTGTTGTCGCGCGTCGCGTACACTGTTAATCCACACGTGACTCCAGCTGAGCTCTCACAGAGAGAAAATGAAAACAAAACTTCACTGCAGCAAACTATAACAGCAACACTTCACGCTTGTTTTGCCAACACAACGTGGCGTCTCTGTCGTCTAAACACTGTGACAGTAATGAATATTAATGAAGTTGCACAATAGAGCGCGCTGATTGGTTTGAACCAAGCCTTACTCATGCATTAATGCAGCACACTGTAAGACGTAATAAGACTCACTCTGGCACAGACGTCCAGTCTGCACGCTGGAATACACGCTATTATGTCATGACCGTGACGCAGCTTCAAAAATTCATTTCAAACCGGAAGTACGAATTTGCTTGAATTAACGCAAAAACAGCCAATTTACACTTTTTAGTGAAATATAGGTGTCCTAATAGTGTTTTTAGCAGTGTGGGACACAAATACGACTGTCAACAGCTCAAACATGTGTTTTGGTGTTTCGTGACCCTTTAACACTTACCCAGTCTACGATACCCTCCATCGCTGCTGGGTCATTTCGATTCTGAATATTTTTCACCATCACTCTCACAATCTGTTTCTTTGCACCTGGTAGAATACAACACACATTTGATCGATTATGAAGAAATCAACGTTTAAAGACTTTGATTCATTTTTAAAAACTTATTAAATAGAACTCTGAGTTGATATTTATAATAATATGTTAATATTATATTTACAGTTGAAGATTATTCTCCCTCTTGATTTATATTCTTTTTTTAATATTTCCCAAATGATGTTGATCAGAGCAAGGAAATGTTCACAGTATGTCTGATAATATTTTTTTCTTCTGGAGAAAGTCTTATTTGTTTTATTTAGGCTAGAATAAAAGCGGTTTTCAATTTTTTAAACACCATTTTAAGGTCAATATTATTAGCCCCTTTAAGCTATATTTGTTTTCGATAGTCTACAGAACAAACCATCATTATACAATAACTTGCCTAATTACCCTAACCTGCCTAGTTAACCTAGTTAACCTAGTTAAGCCTTTAAATGTTACTTTAAGCTGTGTAGAAGTGTCTTGAAGAATATCTATTCGTTTAGCCTCTTACCCTTTGTGTATTAATCCGCCCACATACAGCTAGCAACAAGCAGACTCTACAGCTTGACAAATATTACTGTGGTTAGACAACAAAATATACTTTTGAGGCTTTTTTAGTCGAGAATGTAGTCGTTTAGATTGCAACTATCCCGTATATTTGCAAGAATAGTGCCTATTTTAAAATATTTACAATTTCTGAGAGCTCATCAGCGGCCAAAGACAATTGATGTCGTCTATCCACAAGATGGCGCCAGAACCGCATAATAAGCCCTTGCTCAGTGTGATCTCTTGAGCGCAGATAAAAAGCTGAAAAACGGAAGCCTCGTGGTTTTTAAGGTGGACCGGATAGAGTCAATAAGAAGCTGGATTCAGCCTCGTCCCTCCTTATCGCAAACACAACAGCAGTCTGGTGAGAAATCTCTGTAGACAGATGGCATTTCATGTCACGTTCAGCCTTATAATCTTAAAATGTGAGCAAAATTTGCTGTTTTGTCATCAAGGGGGTCACACACCAGAAGCGTCGCTTCACATTACGCTATAGAGAATCATTCAAATACTAGCTCTAAAGTGACGTTGGTCTATCGCTCTCTCTCTCTCTCTTGTATGTTGTAGTGCTGTATTTATACAGATTTACTTGCATATAAGGAATGTGTGTTGTGTTGGCAGAAAGAATTAAGAAATGCACAGACGTGTTTAGCGTTTTTCCTTATCGCAAACGCAACAGCAGTCTGTTAACGTTAGTGGGTTCGTTGTTATTTTTGGGGTAAATTATTGTGAAATCCCGATTGCAACAGAGAAATACTGTAGACTGTAACACTGTAAGAAGATATCTCTGTAGATGTATGGCATTTCATGTCACGTTCAGCCTTATGATCCTAAAGAGTTCACTTTAGACATACAGAGAATCATTCAAACACTAGCTCTAAAGTGACGTTGGTGAATTAGTAACGGCTTCCGCTGTTCTGACGTCAGCTGCAGATGTGAATGAATGGCGGAAGAAAGTAGTTCCTAATACAAAAGGGTTTTGAAACATTTCAAAGTTCGGAAAAATGCCTGCTATTTTTAAATGTGTTCAAAAATGGCCACATATAGAGGGGGGAAATTAAATATTGAGCATGTCACCAGTTTTCTCCGAAAACATTTTACTAAAGGTGCTGTTGACTTGAAATTTTCCCCAGATGCTGGTGAAAACCAAAGAAATGTATATATGAAAAGAAAACAAATTTAATTCGTTTACAAATGAAGTGTAATGAAATGAAATGACGCAGGGAAAAAGTATTGAACGCATGAAGAAAGGGAGTTGTAGAAAGACATGGAAAGCCCAGACAGCAGCTGATATCTCTCAGTATTTCTCCGCCCTTCCTCAGTATAAATGAATATCAGCTGCTTCAGTCACCCACTTCGAATGCTATCAGTCGATTGAATAGGCTTTGTCAGGTGATAAATATGGGCCAGTAGGGGCCTTCTGTGCCTACTGGTAGGCTCAGAAGGCTATTATCATCCATCCGCATGATTTATCAGCTATACTAATAGAGAAGACTCCTGTTTTTACATTGCTGTGACGGTTGGGTTTAGTGTTGGGGTAGATGTTATTAAATATAATTAATAGGAAGTTTAATAAATAATATAAATATTCAGCAGACTCAGTCTGCATTTTGTCTTTAAAATGAATGCTACGTGGCGGTATGAGCGATTGCCTCCGTATGAATGGCTTTTCTGCTGTTACCAGTTTTTCCAGTGGCTCACAGTGTACGTCGGCAGACTTGTGACATGGTGCGGAGTTGACAGCGATGCCATTTTGGTGAGAAACGGTTTCAGAAAGCAGGCAAGACAAAAGCCAAACAAGTAAATAATTTGCTTTTGGTGGTGTTTTAAAAAAACAGACGGGTTTAGGGAAGGAGGAGGGTAGGTCAATCGATTTACGCGAGGATATGTCTCATATAGCTGATTAACCATGTGGATGATTAATAACAGCCTTCTGAGCCTACCAGTAGGCACAGAAGGCCCCTATTGGCCCATATTTATCAGCTGATAACCACATTCAATCGACTGATAACATTCAGATTCGCTGCTTCAGTCCAGCATCTTCATTAGCAGGAGGATGAAGATGAAACCAGGGTGGACATTTCGGCAAGACAATGATCCAAAACACAGTCAAGGAAACTCAGAGAAAGAAGATCGAGCTGTAGAATGGCCCAGCCAATCACCTGACCCGAATCCAATTGAAAATACTAAAATAAGCTCAGATTTGACAGACGAGCCCCAAAGAACCATCCAGATTTTGACACTCTGTTGAAGTCTGTGAGAAACTCACACCTGAGCAATGCATGAGACTTCATTCTCCATATGAGAGGCTTCTTTAAGCTGCCGTCCCTGCTGAAAAATCCAGCTTAAACCAGCCTAGGCTGGTTGGCTGGTTTTAGCTGGTCGACCAGGCTGGTTTTAGAAGGGTTTTGGCCATTTCCAGGCTGGTTTCCAGCCATTTTTAGCCTGGTCTTAGCTGGTCAAGCTGGAAATACAGCTAGACCTGCCTGGTTTGAGCTGGACATAGCTGCTTTTGGCTGGGCTCCCAGCCTGGCTAGGCTGGTCAAGCTGGTTTTAGCTGGTCATCTCCCAGCCTGATCAGCTAAGACCAGGCTGGAAATGGCTGGAAACCAGCCTGGAAGTGGCCAAAACCCCTCTAAAACGAGCCTGGTTGACCAGCTAAAACCAGCCAACCAGCCTAGGCTGGTTTAAGCAGGATTTTTCAGCAGGGGTTACTAAAAAGCCTTTTATATAAAGTATTAAATTGATTTTCAGTAGTTTAGTACTTTTTTTTTCATTGTTATTACAAATTATGTTTGTATTGTTTGTAAAATCAGGTTCCATTCCATATCAACAGCTCCTTTAGAGATATTATTGCCAGGAAAAACCATGACGTGTCCAATACTTATTTTCCCCGCGGTATGTACATATTTGCTATTCAAATGAGAATAAAAGATGAAAGCGGGCATTTTAGCAATATTTCTAAACATATGTTTTAAATATGGCACATTTTTGAAATGTAAAATACAAAATATGAATTTATATCACATGAATGTCTGTTTCCATGTAACAATTAGCAGCTGAGGCTCAGAAATCAAACTTACGGAGGATGCAGAGGAAGGGAAGGGCGCTTGAGCAGATCTGATAACTGGTCAAGCCACCAGAGTCTGAAACTCCACAGGGTATTTGAAGAGTATTCATTTTTGGTTGTTTACCCGGCCAGGCAAAGGAGGAAGTGGAGACATTTGTACCATCGGACCATTTCCACGTGTCTCTGAACAGACCGATCCAAGCACTCGAGTAGGGCTTCATCTGACTTCTCACCAGCGAATTCTCAAGTTTATTCTGAATGACGGCCAGGTCTGTGTAATGTTGCCTACAGTAACTCTGAGCGTCCGGCCAGGTCTTTGCATCACTGATAAAAACGAACCGGTCTGTTCCATTTTCTGTAATAAGAGTTCATTAAATCAGATTTCATTTTTGCACCAAGTGTGTTTCAGAACTTTCATTGGCTCCCTTCAACATTTTACTAATCCGTTGTGGAGGGAATTCTCATTAAGTCAAATTTTTTTCTTTAAAGTTGCCATGGAACAGAAGTTGAGATTGTTTGCTATTATGAATTGCATCCGCTTAAAACAATCCTGAAATTATAAAAAAAATGTAGAGCAGTGCATGATTTCATACATTGAAATGAGACATGCACTGATAGCTCCGCCCTAAAATCTGATATCCCAGCCCGAAATGACTGATAGCTCCGCCCTAAAATCTGATATCTTGGCCCGAAATGACTGATAGCTCCGCCTTAAAAAAAACTGATATTCTCGCCCTAAATGACTGATAGCCCCGCCCTAAATGACTGACAGCTCCACCCTAAAGAACTGATATCCCTGCCCTAAATGACTGATAGCTCCGCCCTAAAGAACGGATATCCCAACCCTAAAGAACTGATAGCCCTGCCCTAAATGAATGACAGCTCCGCCCTAAAATCTGATATCCCTGCCCTAAATTACTGATAGCTCCGCCCTAAAGAACGGATATCCCAACCCTAAAGAACTGATAGCCCTGCCCTAAATGACTGAAAGCTCCAGCCTATTGATAACTCCGCCCTAAAAAAAATCCCCTCCCTAAATGACTGACAGCTCCGCCCTAAAATCTGATATCCCGGCCCGAAATGACTGATAGCTCCACCCTAAAAAAAATGATATTCTCGCCCTAAATTACTAATAGCCCCGCCTTAAATGACTGACAGCTTCACCCTAAAGAACGTATATCCCAACCCTAAAGAACTGATAGCCCTGCCCTAAATGACTGATAGCTCCACCCTAAAAAAAATTATATCTGTGCCTAAAATTACTAAAATCCCTGCCGTAAATGACTAATAGCTCCGCCCTAAAAAAATGATATCCCCACCCTAAATGACTGATAGCTCCACCCTAAAACAACTGATATCCCCACCCTTAATGACTGATAGCCCCGTCCTTAATGACTGATAGCTCCACCCTTAATGACTGATAGCCCCGTCCTTAATGACTGATAGCTCCACCCTAAAGAACTGATAACCCCGCCCTAAAAAATTATATCCCACCATAAATGACTGATCGCTCTACCCTAAAACAAACTGATATCCTCACCCTTAATGACTGATAGCCCCGTCCTTAATGACTGATAGCTCCACCCTAAAACAACTGATATCCCCACCCTTAATGACTGATAGCCCCGTCCTTAATGACTGATAGCTCCACCCTAAATGACTGACAGCTCCGCCCTAAAGAACTGATATCCCTGCCCTTAATGACTGATAGCTCCACCCTAAAGAACCGATAACCCCGCCCTAAAAAATTATATCCCACCATAAATGACTGATCGCTCTACCCTAAAACAAACTGATATCCCCACCCTAAATGACAGATAGCTCCGCCCTAAAGAACTGATATCCCACCCTAAACAACTGATAATCTCGCGCTAAAAAAATAATATCCTGCTCTAAATTACTGACAGCTCCACCCTAAATGACTGATAACCCCACCCTAAATGATTGATAGCTCCACCCTAAAAAGAATGGATATTCCCGCCCTAAATGACTGATAGCTCTGCCCTAAAGAACTGATATCCCCACCCTAAATGACTGATAGCTCCACCCTAAAACAACTGATATCCCCACCCTTAATGACTGATAGCCCCGTCCTTAATGACTGATAGCTCCACCCTAAATGACTGACAGCTCCGCCCTAAAGAACTGACATCTTCACCCTTAATGACTGATAGCCCCGTCCTTAATGACTGATAGCTCCACCCTAAATTACTGACAGCTCCACCCTAAATGACTGATAGCCCCACCCTAAATGATTGATAGCTCCACCATAAAAAGAATGGATATTCCCGCCCTAAATGACTGATAGCTCTGCCCTAAAGAAAATTATATCTGTGCCTAAATTACTGAAATCCCCGTCGTAAATGACTAATAGCTCCGCCCTAAAAAACTGATATCCCCACCCTAAATGACTGATAGCTCCACCCTAAAAAACTGATATCCCCACCCTAAATGACTGATAGCTCCACCCTAAAAAAACTGATATCCCCACTCTTAATGACTGATAGCTCCACCCTAAATAACTGACAGCTCCGCCCAAAAGAACTGATATCCCTGCCCTTAATGACTGATAGCTCCGCCCTAAAGAACCGATAACCCCGCCCTAAAAAATTATATCCCACCATAAATGACTGATTGCTCTACCCTAAAACAAACATATCCCCACCCTAAATGACAGATAGCTCCGCCCTAAGGAACTGATATCCCCACCCTAAACAACTGATAATCTCGCGCTAAAAAAATAATATCCTGCTCTAAATTACTGACAGCTCCACCCTAAATGACTGATAGCCCCACCCTAAATGATTGATTGCCCCACCCTAAAAAGAATGGATATTCCCGCCCTAAATGACTGATAGCTCTGCCCTAAAGAACTGATATCCCCACCCTAAATGACTAATAGCTCCGCCCTAAAAAAAACTGATATCCCGATCCTAAATGACTGATAGCTCCACCCTAAAAACACTGATATCCCCACCCTAAATGACTGATATCCCTGCATTAAATGACAGATAACTCCGCCCTAAAGAACTGATATCCCCACCCTAAATGACAGATAGCTCCACCCTAAAGAACTGATAATTCCACCCTAAAAAAAATTCTATCCTGCTGTAAATGACTGACTGCTCCACCCTAAAGAACTGATAGCCCCGCCCTAAAGAACTGATTTCCTCACTATAAATGACTGATAGCTCCACCCTAAAGATCTGCTATCTCCATCCTAAAAAAAACTGATATTCCCACCATAAATTGACTAATAGCCCCACCCTAAAGGACTGATATCCCTGCCCTAAATGACTGATAGCTCCGCCCTAAAGAACTGATATCCCTGCCCTAAATGACTCATAGCTCCACCCTAAAGAACTGATATCCCCGCCCTAAATGACTGCTAGCTCCGCCCTAAAGAATTGATGGCTCCATCCTAAATGACTGCTAGCTAGGCTTTAAAGGCATTCCATGTGACCAGAAGAAAAGTCGTTTCAAGAAGTGAGGGTTATGAAATGTGAAAGCAAATTTTTTTTTTTTACAAAATAATGAAATGCAGAGTCGCATCATATACATCAAACTCTACAATATACATATACAAATAAATATACTGATATTAAAGTTACGTTAAATTTTAAGGCGACTTTAAAGAGACACAAAAGAAAATGTTTACATCTCAAAGAGAACTGTAGCTAACTATTATTAATCCAGCCAATAATACGACAACCAGTTTGTTTTCTATTTCAGTTATTTTCTTCAGCATTAAACGCTGTTCACTAAATGGTGCATTCCTTACCATGTAAGCAAACAAATGGAAATAGTATACTGCAATTCCAGTCGTTCCAGTTGCCGTCCTGGGTCAAACCACATGCCTCTTTACCATTGAAGTTGTTTGGTTCTTCAGCACTCCAAGTAGAGAACACGATTTTCATATTTCTATAAGACCAGCGCCAGCTATTTATGTCCTCATAGAGGCCAATCCAAGCCATCGTTGCCTTATTATACACCGTTTGTTGTAGATTTCCATAGTCTTCATTGCTCTGAACCGTGGCCAAATCAATGTGATTCTGTCTGCAAAATGTTTGTGCCTGGACCCAAGTCTTCTGTTGCGGAATTAGAACATAGTCACGTGGGATGCTCACAGCAAATGAACAGAGTCCTGTGGAGAAGAAATGTTTGATATTTTAGTGTGGTGTCAACGTGATTAACAACGATCAATCTCTAACGCTCATCTGTTTTCATTCTAGAAGTCACCAAACTTGCTCCTAGTAGCCGGTGTCCTGCAGGGTTTAGCTCCAACCCTAATCAAACACACCTGAGCAAGCAAATCAAGCTCTAAAGCTGCGGTCACACTAGAGTTCGATCTTGCGAAACTCTGTCGTATGGCGATGCGAAAAGGATTAATCAAGATGATTAGACATTTAAAAAGAGCGAGCGATGGGTCCATGTTTTAAATTCCTGTCCAGAGAGGTCATGTTTTGATCCTCGAAGGGTTTCACGCAGTCAAGTGATGCTATTTTAGCAACTTTCCAATGCAGCGAACTGCTAAACTTGACGCACGAGCTTACGTTTCCAATCTGACGCATTTGAATGGAAGTCTTTGGGAAGAAAAGTGCAGCCTGACCACAGCTTTACGATGAGCACTTGAAACTTCCAGCCAGGTGTGTCGAGGAAACTTGAGCTAAACTCTGTCGGGACACCGGCCCTAAAAGATTGCTTGGTTAAGGTAACGAGATCCAGGAACACTTTCCAAAAAGACACAGTAAGAAGAACTTCATCCTCGCAGATATTAGTTGGTCTGTCTCTCCGTATCCAGTGGTTCACATAATCTTGGATTTGGTCTGTGTCCAGAGCGGATCGTTGTCATAAAGTATGACCTCAACACAGTCCCGCACAGTCAGAGAGGACATGGATGTATCAAGAACCCAAGACCACCGGGACAACTTATTATCTTACAGATCCAACACAGGCTCATTCTGAAAAGGTAGTCCTGTGGACGTTTCTGGAGACCGCAGAATATGTAGCCGGAGGTACGTAAGGCTGCATTTCATTTTTTAAGTGAGAGCTACGGGGCGGTGTGACGCTTACCGGCTGACCGCTTACCTCCATGTGGAGGGCTTTCCCACTGCAACCAGTTTGTCCAGTTAGCTGGTCGTGTTTGTCGCTGGACTTCAGATGTAGAGAGGAGTTGACCACAATGACGACGACCAGGTTCGAGTAGAGCGCTTCAAGAAAACGCGTACGACAAAAACAGAATCCAAAAGATAAAATGAACGAGTGAACAACAGCATGGGAATGTAGTGAAAATCAGACGAGGGCTTTTCTTTTTCTGGACGATGTAAATCGTCGGTTGGGTTTAGTAAATAAGTAGGCGGGCGAGTCAATTGGTAAAATTGGTTGGGTTTAGGGAAGGAGGAGGGTGGGTCAGTCGATTGGCCAGTCGCCCAGTCCATCATTCAGTCAGTCAGACAGACAGATGGTTGGTCGACAGCAGCCTCTGGTGGATTTGCGCAAATTTTTTTTTTTGCAAAAATACGTACTGGTGAGAGACATTTGAGATTCGATAAAGCGCACACATCAGCCTCTCACGGATTCGTGCAAAAAAAAACAAAAAAAAAACGTCAAAAATGCGTACCTCCCGGGTACCTTCTCGGTCTCCAGAAACGTCCACTGGACTACGTTTTCAGAATGAGCCTGGGTTGCACAGATCCCTTTGTCAAGTCTAAACACCTGTCCTGGCTGGGACCTACTACTACTACACACACACACACACACACACACTGTATATAAGAATATATTTTGCAAACTCCCAATTTTTTTTGAACCGAGAAACATTGACAAGTTTTCTCCTGGTAAAGTTTCATCGTGGTGAAACCATTTAAGTAAATTAACCAAAACAGTTGTGTAAATGTGATTCACTTTGTATTGCCGGTTTATCAATTTGCATATAAACTGGTAAATCAGGTTATGTTAGAGTCCACTTAGTTAAAGTAGCTGAGGCTTTTATTTCAGTATGCTGATGTACTTCCATCTGAAGCAGAACATAGAGTAAGGGACACCTTGCTAGTTTCATTAACATTACCATTTATATGTGAAAGGTAGATTAATGAGTCATCAGACATAAATCGTCAGATCAGAGACAATAGCCCCTTTCACACATAGGAAAGGTTGTATGTGTGAACAGGTCCTTTTTGAAAATACCGGTAAATTCGTTCTGGCTATTTTCCGGAAAGAGAAGTTGTAACATTACCGGTAATTTGCCGGAATGCTGCGCTGTGTGAATGCAGAAGGAAGATTGCCGTAATAAGTGCGTGCACGTCTAGAACGTGCTGACGTGAGACGTCTGATTTAGCCAATCACAACAGTCAGATGCGTTTACGTCCGCGCGGTTTGTGAGGATAAAAGCCTTTGAATATTTTTCCAGACACATTTAGCTGCTAGAAGTTAGTCAGGTCACGTTTATATGTTCTTCTTAATGCCAACTGTGTAAATGATCATCGATGAGATGCTTATAAGCCGTTGTTTGTTTACCTTCAAGCTTTGCGTTTGCCTGTGAAACAGCCTGTGAGCGCCTGCACTCAAATCATATTATGAACATCTCGACATGAGAAAGTGATCCTGCGAAAGTTGTTCACAATACTGATCATCCACAGAGTTTGTAATTTAGTCAAATGTTTACAAATACAAGCGCAGCCGTTTAAAGCTCATCTGTGGTGAATGATGTCAGAATTTACCTGTATTTTGGAATGGATGTGTGAATGCTCTTTTCCGGAAAACTTCCGTAACGTCCTCGCCTGTGTGAACAGCGCTTTTTTCAATATACCGGTAAAGTCTTTCCGGAAATTTTCCAGATATTTACCGGTATCACTGTGTGAAAGGGGCTAATGGCAACAAAAACTACAGAAATGTCACTAGACTTCAAAAGAAATATTTCACACATACATTCATTATTGGAGAACAGATACAGGTAGTCCAATCCTGTAAGTACCTTGGCATGGCTTTGGACTGCAATCTGAAATGGGACTTGAAGAGACTAAACCGGTGTGCTTTCAGGTCAGCAATGACATACTTGTCATATTTTACACTGCTTTTATTAAAAGTATATTAACTTTTTACAGTATTTGTTCGTATAGTAGTGATGCTAACGTGACACAGAAACAGCCTTTAAGGAAAATATTCACCACTTCTAGTAGACTGGTGGGCAATCCACTTGTTAAGTGTGACGTCACGCGAAGTGGCTCCAAGCGCTCGTTTCAACTGAATGGGGAGACTCAAGAAATGGTAATAATAAACGTTTACAAAGCGATTTAATACTTTCGAAAATCACGATGGCAGTTTATATGTCCATGCCTAATATCCGATGGCTAGAAAGTGATCCATTTATTTATAAATTGTTAAATTTTTGGTATTTGTCATGCAGCAAGCCCAGAGATTGTTGTGTACACTATGACTTTATGTAAAATTAACTTTAATGTGTGATAGGAATAAAACGTGATCATAAACAAATGATTTCTCTAGTCAACCCTGCTGAAAAATCCAGCCTAAACCAGCCTAGGCTGGTTGGCTGGTTTTAGCTGGTCGACCAGGCTGGTTTTAGAGGGGTTTTGGCCACTTCCAGGCTGGTTTCCAGCCATTTCCAGCCTGGTCTTAGCTGGTCAGGCTGGGAGATGACCAGCTAAAACCAGCTTGACCAGCCTAGCCAAGCTGGGAGTCCAGCCAAAACCAGCTATGTCCAGCTTAAACCAGGCTGGTCAAGTTGGTTTTAGCTGGATTTGGCTGGTAATTTTCCAGCCTGACCAGCTAAGACCAGGCTGGAAATGGCTGGAAACCAGCCTGGAAATGGCCAAAACCCCTCTAAAACCACCCTGGTCAACCAGCTGAAACCAGCCAACCAGCCTAGGCTGGTTTAAGCTGGATTTTTCAGCAGGGATGGCGGCTTGGACCCGGAAACAGTATACATACGTCACCAACACGTCACCACTTAACAAGCATGATACATCACAAAGATTTGCAAAGATAGAGTGGCCATACAGGCAAGACATATTGTGGCTGACTCAATTTTCACACACTTAGTTTCCTTATTTGTCTTACCGACATCTGTGCCAGGATACATTGTGGTAAAGTTGTTTTTTTTATTTTCTCCTCAATAATGTAACACCATAAAATGCTAATTCTCAATAGGGAACTCACCTTATAGCGGCCAATAGCTAGCAAAATACGTTGTTCACAGTCAATTAAATAGTGCTAAATGTTGTTTTGAAGTCATCCTTAGGTGCGGTCCCTGCTGAAAAATCCAGCTTAAACCAGCCTAGGCTGGTTGGCTGGTTTTAGCTGGTCGACCAGACTGGTTTTAGAAGGGTTTTGGCAATTTCCAGGCTGGTTTCCAGACATTTCCAGCCTGGTCTTAGCTGGTCAGGCTGGAAAATGAACAGCTAAATCCAGCTAAACCAGCTTGACCAGCCTGGTTTAAGCTGGACATAGCTGGTTTTGGCTGGGCTTCCAGCCTGGCTAGGCTGGTCAAGCTAGTTTTAGCTCGTCATCTTCCAGCCTGACCAGCTAAAACCAGCCTGGAAATGGCCAAAAACCCTCTAAAACCAGCCTGGTCGACCAGCTAAAACCAGCCAACCAGCCTAGGCTGGTTTATGCCGTTTTTTTCAGTGGGGTTTCAGACCAAATATTCAAAGTAGCATGGTAAACAATATAGGGAGTGTTAAAATGAACGAATGTGCGAATATAAAACCGACTTTACCTCAGAGATGCTGTCTTCCTGTAGTAGCAAAAACACAGGACTAATTTTCCTCAGTCCCACAGGCTGATAAATAATCCTAAAGGAAGTTTTAGGTGGGCTTTTTATTCAGTTTTATCCTATTTATTTCTTATATATTGCTGAACGTGAACATGTTGTCTTTGTTGATAATGCTGCAAACAGTTTCCCTAAGGGGACAAAGAAACCTACCTGGAAGCTTGTGGAGTTTACAGTTCTTGAATTTGGCTGAGGGAATGACTGCAGAGCAGTACAGAGTGTATCTTAAAATGAGTGAAACGAACTCACTCGGCAATAACAGCGCGATGCTAGCTGTTGACTGATGCTAATTATTGAAAGGATCATTAAAGGGGAATCTGCAGTCTTCGTGCATTATCCAGTAAAGTCACAAGGGGGCGCTATTTGTCTGTAAACACTTCCCTGCTGAAAAATCCAGCCTAAACCAGCCTAGGCTGGTTGGCTGGTTTTAGCCGGTTGACCAGGCTGGTTTTAGAGAGGTTTTGGCCACTTCCAGGCTGGTTTCCAGCCATTTCCAGCCTGGTCTTAGCTGGTCAGGCTGGGAGATGACCAGCTAAAACCAGCTTGATCAGCCTAGCCAAGCTGGGAGTCCAGCCAAAACCAGCTATTTCCAGCTTAAACCAGGCTGGTCAAGCTGGTTTTAGCTGGATTTGGCTGGTCATTTTCCAGCCTGACCAGTTAAGACCAGGCTGGAAATAGCTGGAAACCAGCCTGGAAATGGACAAAACCCCTCTAAAACCAGCCTGGTCGACCAGCTAAAACCAGCCAACCAGCCTAGGTGAACTGTACCTTTAAGATTTTATCAGCTGTTGTAGATACTGTAATACCAGTTGCTGATTATTGATACAGTTTCTGATTATTTCGCTGTTGAAAAATCCAGCTTAAACCAGCCTAGGCTGGTTGGCTGGTTTTAGCTAGTCGACCAGGCTGGTTTTAGGGAGGTTTTGGCCACTTCCAGGCTGGTTTCCAGCCATTTCCAGCCTGGTCTTAGCTGATCAGGCTGGGAGATGACCAGCTAAAACCAGCTTGGCCAGCCTAGCCAAGCTGGGAGTCCAGCCAAAACCAGCTTTATCCAGCTTAAACCAGGCTGGTCAAGCTGGTTTTAGCTCATCATTTTTCAGCCTGACCAGCTGGAAACCAGCCTGGAATGGCCAAAACCCCTCTAAAACCAGGCTGGTCGACCAGCTAAAACCAGCCAACCAGCCTAGGCTGGTTTAAGCCGGACTTTTCAGCAGGGTTTACATTTTAAAAAATGTTAATATCAGCCAGAAAGCTTTCCTTTTTCATAAAACTTGTAAATCTCAGACACACACACACACACACACACACACACACACACACACACACACACACACACACACACACACACAGAAGAACACCTACCTGAGAAAAACAGCAGGTGAAGCAGCGTGTCCATTGGTAATGGAATCACAGGCTGACTGAAGGTCAAAAGAGCAACAACAAACTCGACTGAAGAAACCCAATGTCCTGATCAGATCGAGCAGTTATCTGCGACAGCACACTGAACGAATCGTCTCGACAGACGTTTTATGCTTTAGCTTTCATGCAAAACCCTGCTCACAGATGTAAATATGGCAGTGTTGTTTGAATGACATTTACTATGCACTCAAACATGTAAAACATCCGAGCTCAGTAACAACACACACTGCAGATCCCCATCAGTCATCCGGCGCACACGGCTACATACAAGACGAGTTACACCAAAGAGCAGAATGACCAAGAGGCGACACTCAATAGAACGTTCCACTGCAACAGCAGCGCCCAGCGGATTCCACCATTTTGGAGTGATAGCGATCGGCTGTCCATTGGATCTTATTGCTGTGGCGATGGCGAGCAGCTGCTTTGTTTTTTATTTATTTATTTTAAAAGCGCATTAAAGCGGAGATACAACCTGAAAAACGACAATACAACAAGTACCAACACAATCATCAGCACTTTTAATAGTTTATTTTACAGACTTATGCTATGCTGTTGTTCTACTGGAGTTTTCATTCCAAAATGGCCGCCAAGCCATCTAGTGGTTGTTTCACGAATCGCACTTAAGTGTCGCCTCTTGTTGATTCTACGCTGAAACACTTGAGAATAAAGACGCATGTGTTATTTGTAGATGGCGATTTGTAATCGTTATTGCGTTCATTTTTTATTCAATTGTGTTCATTTTAGTTTATAATGGGCTCAAGTAATTTACGCAGTTACCCGTGTTTTTCTTTCTGCCATTCTCTGACTAGTTTTACAGTACATTATCTGCTGATGCATTGTTTATACAGTTATCCCTTTACAGCAATGTAAATAATTGATGTGTACCACCACAGAACTGCATAGATTTGGCGATATTTCATTGCCAATTGTTATACTACGCACAAAAAAATGTCGTTTATTTTCTTCAAGTTTGTTGTTTAGCTGCGTCCCAAATCGCATACTTATGCACTATTCTACGCCATTTTGTAGTATAAATAGTGTAAGTAGTGCGTTCACACTGAAAACTCTACAAATAATAAGTGCACTTTAATTACCCGTATGATGCACTCATTCAGCCGCTAAAATGAAGTGTGTAATGATGGACACTTCACGCACTCAACGACCGCAAGTTTGCTTACGTAGCGGAAGGGGCGGAGCTATCGGACGCACATGTTGAATAACTTTATTTAATTTGGATGGTGAAAGCAAAATTCTTTTACGAGAGTGATTATAGCGCCTCCCGATGGTGAATGCGGTTATACTCACGATAGGCATTATTTGATAATTCGGCCGTTTATTTCACTGATTTGGCGACCGTCAAACGTCATCAGGGAAACGGTTTGAATTTCCGCTTAGTAAAAAAAACATTAGTGTGCCATTTGGGACAACACTACATGCATGTACTATCCTGTTGAGTGTGTAAGTGCATAAGTACATAGTGCATGAGTGCATAGTGTATAGTGTGCCATTTGGGACGCAGCTTTTGTTCAAACTACTCATTTAAAATGAGCTGAATCATTACAATTCTTATGTTTATTGTGCGGCAAGTTATTTGATTTATGTTCAATCCACTTAAATTTGTAAAAAATAATGTTAACTTAGTTGCTTTATGTTGTCCCAACACAAATTGACTGTGTGGAACCCAGCATTTCCGGTTCGTGTCCTGGCTGCATTTCTTTGTGGAGTTTGCATGTTCTCCCCGTGTTGGTGTGGGTTTCCTCCGGGTGCTCCGGTTTCCCCCACAGTCCAAACACATGCGCTATAGGAGAATTGAATAAGCTAAATTAGTCGTAGTGTATGTGTGTGAATGGGTGTTTCCCAGTACTGGGTTGCGGCTGAAAATAAAGTAGAACTGAATTTCGAAATAGTTTTGAAACAAATCTTTGGGCTTAAACTAAATTAATCACTGTGGATGTCTTCAGTGGAGTGTACAACAGGGTTTCCGTACTCCACCAAAGTAAAGGAGTAAAGAGTGTAAGTAAAGTAAAGAGGCCGAATGGAGGACACTCGTTCTTTATCCTTGTGCAGATGTTAAACTGTTTTCTCGCTAGTGAAGCGTTCACTTTTACCATTAGTCAAAGTCAGCTTTATTGTCAATTCAGCCACATGTACAGGACATATAGAGAATCGAAATTTCGTTACTCTCAGACGCTAGGTGCCTAACATATAATGTTAATATAAAAGGTAGAGTTTTAAGAAAAAGAAAGTTATAAATACATTATATACAATTTTACATAAAATGTAGTCTAAAAGTATACATAAGGAATAAAAATTTGTAAACAATACAATGCCAGTTAAGGGATGAGATCAGTCCTACACTCTTGACTGTCTCATTTCACAATGCTCAGTTGGGTCTGCATGGACTTCGCAGGACTTGCCTATAAAGTCTGCATGTCCCTGAGTGTTTCAACAAGACAATGGCTCCAAACACAAAGTAAATGAGCAATAACTTAGCATCAGGATTGGCCTGCTCAATCCCCTGACCTCAACTCAATTGAAAACCTGTGAGGTAACATAAAAAGTGCAGTTTATTTATAAACTAATTTCGAGAGGATCACGTGCTTATGATTGATTGCGGCTGGTCCTGCATTATTCAGTTGATGATACACCAATCAGTCGACTCCTAACCCACTATACATACCCTAAGCTCTTTGTTTTGAAGAAGCCCCCCTTCCACCCCTACTCCTCCTCGTTTCCTAGATGGGTGGCCCAGTGGTTAGCACTGTTGCATTACAGCAAGAACGTCACTGGTTTTAATCCTTACCAAGCCAGCCGACGTTTTTGTGCGGAGTTAACATGTTCTCACGTCGGTTTCCCCCGGGTTCCTCCCACCGTCCATAAACATGCAACTTAAGTTAATGACTAATCCAAATCGGCACCATAGACGTGCTCCTAGTAAGTAGTTCCCTCCTAAGAGCAATCACTATCTGTTCATTAGCTACTACAGCAAGGGAGTTCTCCAGATCTACCTGAGCTCAAACTCCCCTCTTGCCTTGCAAACGGGAGGGAGCCCCGGGCCCGAGGATCTCATGAGCTCAGGGTTCTCTCCTAGGACAAGCTTTATAATCAATCATAAGCTAAGTGTGAACACTTGAAGTGCAGTTTCTGAAGCAGAACCCAACAATTCATTACGTGTATGAAATATACTTTTCCGGGTGCCAAATGTTGGTTGATTAATCAAAAAACCAAAACAATGGCTACGCAGATAAATAATAAATAAAAAAATAGTTTTAGTTTCTAAATGTTTCTGTTTAAAGAGAGAAAAAATATTGATACTGGTATTTTTAACGCAATCTCACGGCAGTTTGTAACTTTTTGATATAGTAGCTAATTTGTATTAATTCATACAATCTAATTCGTACAATTTAGTATGATTTACTCATCACCCAATGACGGTTGGGGTTAGGGGTGGGCTTGGGTGCCACGCAGGGCCGGAGTGGGACTGCTTTTCAGCCCTGGAGTTTCAAGCCTCAGACCGGCCCACCTCAGTTCACGACTGACTATATTAAAATAAGGACATTTCCAATTCAGTTTCTAATTACAATATCACGTTTTTTTTAAGAAAACAGCTGCTTTAGAACTTTAAATGTTCAACAACCCTAACAGTATTATATGTCTTAACAATAAAAATGAGAGAAAAAAAAAAAAAACATACTCAGGTGAGATTCAAACCCCGATCGGTGGTGTTGTAATCTAATGTGCTAACCACTGGACCACAGCAGTCGTAGTTGATTAACTGATAATTTGCAGGCTACTTATATATAAAAAGAGCAGAGCTACGGTGAAATAATGAATAAGAAGACTGGTCAAATAAATTAATTAATTTAAAAAGTGTGACTGATGAGAGCAACAGATTCTGAAGCTAGGTACACCGGCCCTCGCGGCCAAAAAACGGACCGGCCCACCGGGAATTCTCCCGGTCCTCCCGATTAGCCAATTCGGGCCTGGTGCCACGCCTCATTTCTAAAAATCGCACATTTTCGTACGAATTCGCCACTAAACTGACAAAACGTAAAATACTTAATGTTCCTCGTGAGATCAGGCTGGTATTTTCTTACAGATTAATATTTGTTTTGATTGTCTCCTCTGAAAATATTCAGGAAAATCATAAAATGTGTAACGGGTCCCACACGAGTGGAATCCGTCCTGCGTTGTGTTGTTGTTTTTCAATAAAGGACTCCAAACCTCTTACCGCTTGGCACTGTCTTTATTTTCTGCACAAATGGAAAATGTGTTGAAAACATGCATTCTGTGATTATGATCTTCATTAAACAACCGTTTAATGTCTCCATTAACCACGAGACAACCTTCTCTCAGCTCAGAAGGAAGTGAACTGCGATAGCGATTTCTTGAAAGAACATGTATTAAACTAATCTGCTTAACATAAGACTAAATTAATATTAATGACATGAAATCACAAAAACTACCAACAATACAAAAACATACCTGCACAAATGGAAAATGTGTTGAAAACATGCATTCTGTGATTATGATCTTCATTAAACAACCTGTTGGCACACGAGGAGTAATTACAGCATGCTAATATGTGCTAATCTCACTCACAAATGCAAATGATCTCAATCACAACCATTTAGAACCACAGTTTCATATTTCCACATCACAGAGTATGTTTAGCAAAGCAACAAACATTTTAGATTTAAAATATACAATCAACCGTCAATAATATTACCGTTTAATGTCTCCATTAACCACGAGACAACCTTCTCTCAGCTCAGAAGGAAGTGAACTGAGAGAGCGATGAGCGCGCACACAAACGAGTATACACTCTTAAAGTGACAGTACACTTGAACAGGTCCTGAAAGTCACATACAAGCATGAACTCAAAACGATAAAATAATATATATAATAATATCAAATGAAGTAAATTAAAGTTATACTCAATAGAAAAAAGGATTTTGAGTGAAAATAATATTACCAAAATAACTCCGTTACAAATGCTTTGATTTAGGATTGAATGTGAAGTGTTTCCACTGTATTTACTGAAATGCAGAAATAAAAGCTGTTAAAATATTAGTACTTTAGTCAGTTTTTAATGCACTGCTATTTTCTGAACAACTGTAGGCTTTCAACAATGCAAATCTGATGATGATTGTCTTGGTAGGTCTCTGCGGAAACATGCAAAGTTGTTTGAAGTGTTTTGCAGGTGGTAGCAGCGGTGGGTCTTCGGGATCAGAATCACTGATTTATTTTTCCATGAATCTCTGACAGGCTTTTCTCTTCATTTCATAGCCTTGTTTCCATTACAGCTTTTAACCAATTATATTTCAGCAATCCTGTCGCAAGAGTCTAAGCAATTAGTATAAGGACTTAGGAATCTGCAATGCAGATGTCTGTGGCGTATAATAAACAGTAATGAACCTGTTGCTTTTAAGCATGCAGATCTGAGTTGGCACCACCATGGCTAACAGGCCAACGCAATCTGACGGCAATTCGTAACTTTTTTTATTTAGTGGCTGATTCGTATGAATTCGTACGATCTAATTCATACAATTTAGTGCGATTTGCTCATCACCCAATGACGGTTGGGGTTAGGGGTGGGGTTGGGTGCCACGCCTACTTTTTAAGACCGCACATTTTCGTACAACTGAACTCGTCCGAATTAGCCACTAAACTGACAAAACGTAAAATACGTTTCCTCGTAAGATCAGGCTGAACAGGCATATGGTAATGTCAGCGTTTTCTCACTCTTTGATTGGAGTGCCAATCTACCAATCAGCATCACTGTAAATAATTGTTATTTTCACAGTAATATTGTTATTACTGTAAATTATCAGTGCATTCTGGAAGAAAAAATAACTAAATTATTGCGGGAGCAGACAACCGCCTCTAGAACAGTGGTTCTCAAACTTTTTTCACCAAGTACCACCTCAGAAAAAATTGTCTCTCCAAGTACCACCAAAATGACAAATCACGTGACTTGCATTGCGGCATTCTGAAAATTTACTATTTTTTCAACTGGGGACTCCTGGAATACGCAAGCGCATCGTGCTGCAGTTCGTACCCGTTTTGCTAGCCTGTGGCTTAAATTTTGGCACTCAAGTGACCGAGATGTAACGAGAATACGGTCATTTTTCAAATAAATGATTGTTAGACTCAATTTCAAATATGAAGCTGGTCAGTCAGTTTTTGTCACGTGAATAGCGTTGCGGCATTTTGAAAAGTTACTATTTTTTTCAACTGGGGACACCTGGAATGTGCAAGCGCATCGTGCTGCAGTTCTTACTCGTTTTGCTAGCCTGTGGGTTAAATTTTGGCGCTCAAGTGACTGAGTAGTAACAAGAGAATACGGTCGTTTTTCAAAATAAAAGATTTTTCAAAATAAATGATCGTTACACTCAATTATAAATATGACGTTGGTCAGTCAGTTTTTGTCACGTGACTTGCGTTGCGGCATTCTTAAAAGTTACTATTTTTTCAACTGGGTACACCTGGAATACACAAGCGCATCTTGCTGCAGTTCTTACTCGTTTTGCTAGCCTGTGGGTTAAATTTTGAGGCTCAAGTGACCGAGATGTAACAGGAGGATACGGTCATTTTTCTAAATAAAAGATTTTTCAAAATAAATGATCGTTAGACTCAATTTCAAATATGAAGCTGGTCAGTCAGTTTTTGTCATGTGAATCGCGTTGCGGCATTCTGAAAAGTTACTATTTTTTCAACTGAGTACGCCTGGAATGCGCTAGCACATCGTGCTGCAGTTCTCACTCGTTTTGCTAGCCTGTGGGTTTAATTTAGCGCTCAAGTGACCGAGATGTTACAAGAGAAAACGATCGTTTTTCAAAATAAATGATCGTTAGACTCAATTTCAAATATGACGCTGGTCAGTCAGTTTTTGTCACGTGAATAGCGTTGCGACATTCTGAAAAGTTACTATTTTTTCAACTGTGTACGCCTGGAATATGCAAGCGCATCGTGCTGCAGTTCTTACTCGTTTTGCTAGCCTGTGGGTTAAATTTTGGTGCTCAAGTGACCGAGATCTAACAAGAGAATACGGTCATTTTTCAAAATAAAAGATTTTTCAAAATAAATAATCGTTAGACTCAATTTCAAATATGAAGCTGGTCAGTCAGTTTTTGTCACGTGACTTGCGTTGCGGCATTCTGAAAAGTTACTATTTTTTCAACTGTGTACGCCTGGAATGCGCTAGCACATCGTGCTGCAGTTCTTACTCGTTTTGCTAGCCTGTGGGTTTAATTTAGCGCTCAAGTGACCGAGATGTAACAGGAGGATACGGTCATTTTTTTTAAAATAAAAGATTTTTCAAAATAAATGATCGTAAGACTCAATTTCAAATATGACGCTGGTCAGTCAGTTTTTGTCATGTGACTTGCGTTGCGGCATTTTGATAAGTTAATATTTTTTCAACTGGGTACGCCTGGAATACGCTAGCGCATCGTGCTGCCGTTCTTACTCGTTTTGCTAGCCTGTGGGTTAAATTTTGGCGCTCAAGTGACCGAGATGTAACAAGAGAATACGGTCATTTTTCAAAATAAAAGATTTTTCAAAACAAATGATCGTTAGACTCAATTTCAAATATGACGCTGGTCAGTCAGTTTTTGTCACGTGAATAGCGTTGCGACTTTCTGAAAAGTTAATATTTTTTCAACTCTGTACGCCTGGAATACGCAAGCGCATCCTGCTGCCGTTCTTACTCGTTTTGCTAGCCTGTGGGTTTAATTTTGAGGCTCAAGTGACCGAGATGTAACAAGAGAATACGGTCATTTTTCAAAATAAAAGATTTTTCAAAATAAATAATCGTTAGACTCAATTTCATTTTATATAAAATAGACATATTTTATGATTTTTTGTGTGGCCCGCTATCAATTGATCTATAGAACAGTACTGTCTGTGGCCCGAGGGTTGGGGAGCATTGCTCTAGTTTGGCATTTGATACAAACAATTAAATCTCACATAAACGCACCCACATATACACATACAAAGTACCTTATAAAAGATTACACTTTATTCAGAGCGACAATAGATAATGGGGCAAAGCTATTCCTCAACCGTTTTGTCCTACTAAAATGCATCTGAAACCTTCGATCCGAAAGGAGCAAGATAACCTCCGTAGAGAGAGGAACTGCCAACTATTCCAGCATATGTTTCACACAGCGGATGCCCTTCCAGCCGCAACCCAGTACTGGAAAACACTCATTCACATACACACACTCATACATTACAGCCAATTTAGGTTATTCATCATTTTCTTGTCGGCTTAGTCCCTTTATTAATCCGGGGGTCGCCACAGCGGAATGAACCGCCAACTTATACAGCAAGTCTTTACACAGCCCTTCCAGCCACAACCCATCTCTGGGAAACATCCACACAAACACACTCATACACTACGGACAATTTAGCCTACCCAGTTCACCTGTACCGCATGTCTTTGGACTGTGGGGGAAACCGGAGACCCGCTCGAAGGCAGGGAGAACATGCAAACTCCACACAGAAACGCCAACTGAGCCGAGGTTCAAACCAGCAACCCAGCAACCTTCTTGCTGTGAGGCGACAGCACTACCTACTGCGCCACTGCCTCGCCCCTTATTCAATTCACCTATAGACTATTTTAATGTGGCGATGCGGCTAGTCCACGGACATTTCCTGCTTGTAAAACGATTTCATAACTGTAAAAAAAAGGCTATTTAATTATAACTTACATGTTAAAACAGATATGCATTATTTAAACATCCAAAACAGGAAATGCACCAGGACCATTGTTATTGATTGCATTCCTCAAGATGGTCTAGAGCGCATGTGTTTGGACTGTGGGGGAAATCCCGGAGGAAACCCACACCAACACGGGGAGAGCATGCAAACTCTACACAGAAATGGCAACTGGCCCGGCCGGGACTCAAACCAGCGACCTTCTTGCACATTTCTCTCTCTAGCTCTCTAGGCCACATCAAAACCCCAGGCTATATTTTAATTTGCAAGCCAACATGGGAGGAATCTTTTGGAGTGACTAATTTTTTTGGATGGAACAGAGAAGAAAAGGACTATCCAGACAGTTACCAGCAGCAAGTCCGAAAGCCAGGGTCTTCTGTGATGGCATCATTAATGCTGAAAAGAGATCTTGGAGCATGCTGCCTTTTTTCCAGGGACACCAATGCATATTCCAACAAGACAATGCAAAACCACATTCTGCACACATTACAGAGTCCTGCTGCGGAGGAAGAGGATACAGGCGTTTGACTGGCCTGCCTGCAGTCCCGACCTGTCTCCAATAGAGAATGTGTGGTGCATTTTGAAGCACAAAATGCGACAACGAAGACCCTGCACTGTTGCCCACCTCAAGACTTGTTTGCAGGTAGAATGGGACTGTATTACACCTGAAACACTTGGTGTCTTCAGTCCCTAAACGTCTTTCAAGTGTGAAAAGGACATCACAAAGTGGTAAATGCTTTACTGTTCCTTTTTTTAAAATGGGTTTATTTTGACAAAAACAACATTGGAAATCATCGTTGAACTGTTTGCAATGAAAAACAAGTCAAAGTAAATTTAGAAATTATTTTATTTGTGTTTTTCATACTGCCCCAACTGTTTCTGATTTGGGATTGTGTAACGCACTGTGTTTTGTTTAGTCTTCTTCAAACTTGGGTCTTATTTGCGCAGCTTGTTTGGTCCTATTGAACCCAAAAATAACTCATGTCCATATGTTTTTACTGAGCACGGATTATTTTCATACTATGCAGAGCTCTTTGAATGGGCATAAAAACAAATGAAAATCACTATTTTGCATCTGAGGAAAAGAGGTATTTTTAGGGAAGGGTGTGTACTTAAAGGGAAATGAAACCCCCTTGTTTCAGCAGGCTGCTTTCACACCTCTACTTTGGAAAAAGTCAGGAAAGTGGGCGTGTCCAGCTTTGTTTAGGGGGGGGGGGAGTGTCGGAGAAGGGAAAAAAGGCATGGTCTGTTAACATTTGAATAAAAATGGGAGTGTCAATCTG